AAAAAGAAGGGAAAAAAAATAATCCATCTTCACCCATGGAGGGATCCGTGCAGACTGAGCTCTGCAGGGCGGGGGAAGACTTATAAAGCCTTGCCCCGCCCTGCAATTAGGCTCAGAGCACTCAGAGACTGCCCTTACCTGCCCCAGTTGCTTGATAAATTGAAACAGTTCCACACATATTAAAAAATGGCACTCATGTCCTCTCAAAAGATGCAGAAATTTACTAACATCTGGCGGGGGTGGGAGAGGGAGTTTGGAAGGGTACGGGTGGTAGCGAAACCGCAACCCACCCCTGGCCCGGTAGACACTGCTTAGCCTAACCCTCCAGGGTTTTCCCTCCTCCTTAACTCGACTACAGACACTTGTAAGTAAAGTACACGCTCAAAGCATACTCATAAGACCCCCTCATACTTCTCTTTGTTTTTCCCAATTCTCAAATCCCCAGTTTTAGGGACCATCCATATAACCGTCCGACATGTACCACATGAGTTATAACATAGCTCCGCAAAGTCCATCGGTACTCACACTGTACCCTCGATTACAAGAGCCCTAGCTGCCACCCTTCAAGCAATACCTAACAGAAGTGACGCACTGAAGGGCCCACTAGTATTGATAATTGTACCTTACCGACTAAGACATAAGGGCCCTACCTTGATGGCGAATAGGGATCCCCTGGTGATGCGACTATCTGCGCCTGCCACTATCACACTGATGTAAGAATAGGTGTAGCAGAGGTACTCGTAGGGCTAAATACTGCTAAAACACTACTGAAATGTTGATGGAATGCCACTAAAATATTACTGTATTGTCAGATTACCGTTTGATGTACAGATGATATGTGATACCCTAATTAACCAACTCCCCCTTTATCTTCTGTACCCTGAATTACTTTATTCAAAACAATAAAATACAAATTTGAAGAAAAAAACTCAGATTGTTACACAATGTTTTATAGAAAGGGGGGTGATAAGTCAATCTAACTGGAATAGGGTAAATTTAATTTTTGGATTACATGGTTCAATATTTTAGACAAAGATTAACCCAACAAATGTGTGAACCTATAGTTTAATGCACACAGTTAAAGCTCCCCCATAAAAAGGAAAAATACAAAGAAATAATCCCCGTACAATAAAATAATATCATATACTCAACTATCTATCATTTGTGTTTCCACATGATCCGCCAATTTGTATTTTTTTTTGTTAGTCGGTTTATTTTAACTAGTACCATAAAATACAGAAGATGTAATACTGTAATACTGTAAAGCTGTAACATTTAAAATAGCTGTGGTAGAAGGAGCAGAGATAGTGGTAATGAGCAGACATAATTGCAGTATGAGAAGGATGTGAAACATCCAATTGCCTCATGGGTGGTGAATCAGACATGCTGCTAATCCCACTAAACTGAGGCTGAATACAAATAATAGTGATGGTGGTTGAGGAGGTGGTGTTGGAGGCAATGGTGGAGGAGGTATAGGAAGTCTTCATGGCCAGGGAAAAGGTGTTCAGAGGTCATGGTACTACTGCTGATAGTGGGCAGAGGAGATATGATAGAAACATTTAAATACATAAAGGTAATCAACACAGTAAAGGAGGAGACTATATTTAAAAGAAGAAAACCGACCACAAGAGGACATAGTCTTAAATTAGAAGGGCAAAGGTTTAAAAATTTCAGGAAGTATTACTTTACAGATAGGGTAGTGGATGCATGGAATAGCCTTCCAGCTAAAGTGGTAGAGGTTAATACAGTAAGGGAGTGTAAGCATGTGTGAGATAGGCATAAGGCTATCCTAGACTTAAGATAAGGCCAGGGTCTAATTAAAAGTATTTTGAAAATTAGGCAGACTAAATGGGCCAAATGGTTTTTTATCTGCCATCTCATTCTATGTTTCTATATAGTTAATGTGAGATTATTTTTCTTATAACAGTAAGGTTAGGTATAGAAATGTAAACCAACACAATGTTATTCAGCAAAAATAGGGTTGGAGCTTGTTGGATTTACGTCTGTTTGACTTTACTAAATATTGCACAGTGTTTCACTGCTTGCACAATCCACAACACACTAGACTAAACACTGATTTTGAAAGTCCTCAAATCTAGGTCAATATATAATGAGAAGAGGGAACAAGGGGTAGAATTGAAGTGTACGTTATTAATTGAATGAAAGAAAAGCACTTAGGAAAGAAATTAACTTATTGTGTATGGAGCTGATAATTAGCTCAATTTAGTATGCCTGGGCAGTATAATCCCTGCCTATGGATATATACTTGGTATCCTGGTCCAATGGGAGGTAATCCAGAGGTATAAAAAAAGAAACAGAGAATAACACCAATACAATATAGTAATTTAAATATGCTAGATTCATTTATATAAGTGCACATAATGAAAATTTTATCCATTAAAATAGCTGCCGAAGCAGAGAACGTCAATTCTGTTAACCCACGGAGCCTGGTAGACACTCCCATCTCTAAGTGTCTCAAGCTATGCCCTAGTGGTTCTTTGGACGGAATTCATTTCTGTGGCATAGAAAAAGTGATGTTGGGCCCTAGAAGAGGTGATTTGGATAAAAATCTATTCCAAAGAGAGAGCTTTTGGATAAATAAGCTTAAAACACTGTAACCTATGGGCCTTAATGAAGGCTTCTCATACACATCTTTAATGCTGGATTAAATCATTATCATCTTTTATACCATCATTTGATTATGGTGTAAATATTGTAAATAGTAGTTATAGGTTGTTTTTTTTATTATTTATTATTTGTACTCTCTTGTCACTGTAGCATTTATAGTTACATTACCTACTATAATCTAACCCGTCTGTGGGAATCACTATAGCCTCTATGGCTATATGTATCATTAGCTATTATGTCACAATGGAATATTGCAAGGATAATACCAATTATGCACATATTAATGTCTATATATGTAAAATAGATTCATGGTCCCATTCATTGTTTCAATTTTTTTTTTGACCCAATAGTGACATCTTCTATGTATACTTTATTTATCACCTCTATGGACATATGTGGACTTTTTTGTCCCCCACTGAGGTGGGTCCCTATATCATACATTCTATACTAGACTGGACAGGTTGTATGATTTTGACCCAATAGTGACACTTTGGGACCTAACATGTGATATCCACTATTATTACCTTCTATGTATATTATTTTACCATCTCTATGGACATATTTGTCCCCCACTAAGCTGGGTGTTCATATCATACAATTCATACTACACTGGATGGGAATGCACTTATTCACTCCAGGTCCCCCTGTATTTGTGGGTAGGTATACACTGATGTGTTTGGAATGCTGTCCAGTCTATTTTTGTTACCGAATATTGGACACAGATGGGATTAGGTACCCCTTTGGGTAGATATGATCTTCATGGGAATCTGCACAGCTCCTAGATGGGCAATGCAACCAAGGTTTTTATATATAGCCATGACATGTTCATTAAGGATTGGGGGTCCTATGCGGCATGCCGATTCTTACAGTGGCTTGATACTCCTATTTCTAATACATGCCATGCCCAATAATAAATTAACTGTGTATATAAATTGGTCACATATTGTGCTATGGCGGTTAGATATTATTCCCCTTAATTTTTAAATATGCCCCACACATAATGAGGAATGAGGTAACCTCGGGATACACACTGTGATAGGAATAAAATAGTACCTTGTTTTCTGAGATACTTTAATTGACAGGTTCAATAAGGATTAGGGGTCTTAGGTTGTATACCGATTCTTGTAGTGGCTTGGTACTCATATATTGAATACACGTCATGCTCGATAATGAACTGAACTTAGGATATGAATTTTGTAACATATTGTGCGGTGGTGGCTCGATACTGAGTTCACTCACCCTAATCTTATAATACACCACATATGAAACAGGGAATGAAGCAGCCTGGGGATATATACCATTGGTTGACTCTTTGCTTTCCCACATGGGATAAAAGGATTTAAGAGAGATCACTCTCATTACAATGTTTTCCCCTGACGAAGATGCATGTAACATTGCACCGAAACGAGCATCAGCGTTTTTGCTTTTGTTTTTCACTGGGCAGTTTATGTATCACTAATAGTTAGCATGTTGCTTTAATTGTTTGCTTTCTTTCACTCTTTACTGATCCTCCTATATCTGTCTAGTGAGATTTACAGGGAGAGAGGCTTTGAGTAGTTTAATTTTGTGTCAGTTTTTTTTCTGGCATTAGTATTTTCACTTTCCTCTCTTCCTCTTTACTGGCTATGTCAAAGTGGCTATCTGGCAATTAGCTCTGATTTAGTAGCCATCATATTCCCTTGTTTGCAACACACACTGTGGGATCCAGGACTGGATTGATCCCACATATCTACATTATATTCTAGACATAGGGACTATAGTCTAGAGCAGGTGTTCTATCAAAAAGACATACCCCGTGAAAAAGACATACCCTCGTCACTTCCGGTGACGCGGCCGCACCGGAAGTGACGTCCAACCAATAGAGGAGGAGGTGTGCCGCATCGCGCATGCGCACAACCTCCAGCCAGAGAATGTTAACAGCGAGCAGGGGACATTAACGCCGCACTGCGCACGGGCGTCTAGTACTCCCGTCGGAGGTACAGCGCGCGTGCGCAGTACTGGGGTATGGAAATCTGATGGCCATTTCGCCTGTTAAATCTCCATACCCCTATACTGCGCATGCGCGGACACAATCGACCGCGCGTGCGCAATGTGGGGTAGGGAAATTTCACAGGACAGACACACATAGCCATCAAATCTCCCTACCCCTATACTGCGCATGCGCGGACTCCCATCCTTGCATTCAAACAGGTCAGTCTCCCCCTGCTCCCAACACCCTCAGCCACCCGAGGGGAGATCACAGTATATTGGGGGGGGTACCTGCACAGTATAT